CAGAAGAAGGACCAGGTGATTTATTTCTGAAAAATCAGCCACTGAAAATCCTAAGAAGCACAGTTCTACTGACACACATGGGTCACCATGAATTGGAGTCAACTGGAACAACAACTGGTTTTTGGCGATTTTTTTTTTTTTTTAATGTATTTCTTGCCTATCCACAAATCTTTCTCCTTCCAGCTTGTCACATACTGAATCTCTCACGATTAGTGTTCCTCATTTAGAACAAGACACCACATCTCCCAAAGGCTCCTAAAATAGTGAATACCCTGCCATTACTGCCCATTAACATCGTTAACTACAAACTGGTCACTATAATTCTAGGCAGTCATACAGAATGCTCAAACAAAATGGGGAAATGAACAGGTAAGCTCTGACAGAGCAAGGAGGGGCAGACAAACACACAGCAGCAACTGAGGTCTGTGCAAGGCTGCCAGAGACTGACCGCCTAGTATTCATTCTGCATTATTTGTATTCATGCTACTTTTCTGTAAGTTTGAAAATTTTTCTAACTTAAAAATTTAAAAATAAGGTTCTCAAGTGTTTTATTTTCTAAGAGTTCATATGTGTGTGCATGTGTGTGTGTATGCCTCAATCCTGGTGGTGCAGTGGTTAAGTGCACAGCTACTATTTGAAAGGTTGGTGGTTCAAACCAACCACCACTAGCAGCTCTGCGGGAGAAAGATATGGCAGTCAGCTTCCCTAAATATTTACAGCCTTGGAAACCCTATGGGCAATTCTACTCCATCCCATAGGATTGCTGAGTCTCAATTCACTTGACATCAACAGGCTTGTGTACATACACACACACACACACACACATAAAAACAAAAAACAAACTCACTGCCATCGAGTCGATTCCGACTCATAGTGACCCCTTTTGGGTTTCCAAGACAGTAAATCTTTACGGAAGTAGATTGCTCAATCTTCCTTCCACAGAGTGGTTGGTGGGTTTGAACTGCCAACCTTCTGGTTAGCAGTCAAATGCCTTAAGCACTATGTTACCAGAACTCTCTCTATATATATACACACACAAACACACACACACGCACACACACACACACATATATAGGAGCTCTTGTGGTGCACTACTTAAGGCATTTGACTGCTAACCAAAAAGTTGGGGGTTCAAACCTGCCAGCCACTCCACGGAACGAAGATGGGGCAATCTACATCCATAAAGATTTACTGCCCTGAAAACCCAGTGGGGGTCGTTAGGAGTCAGAAACGACTCAATGGCAGTGAATGAATGTTACACATATATAATATGTATGTATAATATTTAATGGGAGCTCTGATAGCATAGTGCCTAAGGTATTTGACTGCTAACCAGAAGGCTGGAGGTTCAAACCCACCAGCCACTCCTCAGAAGGAAGGCTGGGTATTCTACTTCCATAGTGATACCTCCTTGGAAACCCAAGGAGAAGCGCCATGAGTCGGGTCCGACTCAGCGGCACATAACAACAACAACTATTTAATACTAATAAAACCAACACCAAACCAAATCCACTGCCATAGGGTCGATTCTGACTCACAGTGACCCCCATTGGGTTTCCAAGGCTGTGAATCTTTAGGGAAGTAGATTTCCTCATCTTCCTTATGCAGAGCAGCTACTGGGTTTGAACCCTTGATCTTCTGGTTAGCAGCCAAATAATTAAATTGGATTTAGAAACTACTTGGATCTAAATGGGATATTTCCACTCAATGCATGAGGTAAGGCTATAACTTTTCCAAATACTAAATAAATTGTCATAATACTATTTTGGGATAATCCTAAATATGCCCATGTATTTACAATAATTTTGTATTATATTAATATACACATGTACATTAACACAATAAGATCTACTCTAATGTATTTGTTCTTTTTCATGGATTTTTCAGCAATTCTTTGACCAGTTCATATTATAAAAATTATGTCTTCATACAGTTATGTGCTTGCATTATCCAATTCTATTTTATTTGTGCCTCTGTGGAGGCATGTAAACTTAAATTCCAGTAAGTCTTATACATTTCTTATTAATTTTCTTCTTAGGGTATCTTCATTTGTTTTTATTATGAATTAAATCTTTCATTAATCATATTATCTAGTTATGTCTAAAATGGGCACAACTACTCACTATCACTTATTAATTTTTACAAACTAATTTCTTTTATTTTGTCCATAGACTTTCAGTTTCTCTTGCATATCCCCAAGTACACAATCATATCACATGCAAATTCTGCCTTTCTTCTGTGGTATATATTATTTGTATACCATTCTTTTGTGTAATCACATTGGCTAGCAACTTTGGAAAAATTTTAAATAACATGGGGACAGTAGGCCTGTTTGTTGTTTCCTGACTTTAAGGAGAATGTTTCTATATTTTTATCATTATCTAATTTTGGTTTGAGATATTCACAATAACATCAAGACTCCATCCAGTTCTAGTTTCTAGCAGATTTGAAACATCAGAAATGGACAAAACTTCTGTCAGTCACTTCTCAGTATCTGTGACATGTTGTTGTTGTTATGTGCCGTCAAGTCAGACCCGACTCATAGTGACCCCTCCTTGGATTTCCGAGGCAGTATCACTATGGAAGTAGATTGCCTTATCTTCCTTCCAAGGACGAGTTCATGGGCACTCTGGTGGCATAGTGTCTAAGGCATTTGACTGCTAACCAGAAGGCTAGTGGTTCAAACCCACCAGCCACTTCTCAGAAGGAAGATTGGGTGATCTACTTCCATAGAGATGCCACCTGGGAAACCCAAGGAGAGGTCACTGAGTTGGGACTGACTCAATGTGAGGTTTTTTGTTTTTTTTTTTTTTTGATGTGTTGAGATTGAACTATTCTTGCATTCCTGTAAATAAATGTTGGTGGTATGTAGTCTCCTTAGAATTCTCTATTTTCAAAATTATCTTGGTTGATCTAGCACACTTACTCTTTCATAAGAAATTTAAAGGATAATTTTTAAGACTAGGACACCAATGAAATTAAAAGTCTCTCTCCATTTTAAAGAGCAACAACATGAGTTGATCTAAACAGAAAGTTAGGAGATCATTCACCAAGCAGAAGTACCTAGATAAGGGATTCAGGTCATGTTTAATAGTTGTCTGAAGCTAGATTACTTACTGTCTAAGAGAAAAGCTTGACAAATGGAGTAAAAAGCAGACTAATGATAATGAAATATCAGAAAGAAAAATGAAAATGGGTAGACTAGCAGAAATACTGTTGTTCAGAAATGACAATATAAGGTAAAAAGGTCACTAACTTTAAACCCACATTTAAAATATACATCTACTGCATAAAGCTAAGCCACACACACTAATTACAATGGAAAAGTAATTTTCAAAAACAATGAGCTGTCTTATAAATTTGAGAATAACAGATATTTCACTGATTCTATGAGACACATTTGTTCCCACATTATATATCTGTGAAACTGAGGTGCCAACTAGAATCTACGACAACTATGTTTAAGTGTTCAGCCAACATTTTTTTTTTTCCCTTACTGATGCATGACATAATGAAATAAGCTGAAAACTGGTGGTGTTCCAGAGTTGATCAAACATATCAAATCTCAATGTTATGAGTATTACAGACATTTTCCAAACAGTTTTTTCTACCTACCTCCAACAGGTATCCTTTTTTGGGGAAAAAATGCTATTACTGTATATAGATTTTTTTTTTTAAATGAGCTAAATTAAAATTCAATTTAGATTGAGGGGCTTTGACAATTGCAGAATTTACTCTGAGATGCCACAGGTACTCTGTAAAAAAAAAAGTTTCTGTCGAGTCAGTTCCGACCCTTGGCCACCCCATGTGCTGCGGAGTAGAACTGCGCTCCATGGAGTTTTCTTGGCTGTGACCTTTCGGAAGCAGATCTCCAGGTATTTCTTCCAAGGTGCATCTGGGTGGGGTTGAACTGCCAACTTTTCTCAATTATTAAAACAACCCACTATCATTGAGTCAATCCCAACTCATAGTGACCCCAGTAGGGTTTCCAAGGCTGTGAATCTTTATAGAAGTAGATTCCTTCACCTTCCTCTCACAGAGTGGCTGGTGGGTGGGTTTGAACCACCAACCTTCTGGTTAGCAGAAAAATATCTTACCCAGAGCACCACCAGAGCTCCTTCTCAATTATTGTTGTTGTTGTTGTTATGTACCGTCGAGTCTCAATTATTAGGGAGCTGCAAAATAGAGGTTGGGATGAAGAGGTGGATGCATGAGTGTATGCAAGTATGCATGCATGTATGTAAGGCATGCAGGTGTGGGTACACTGGGGTCACTGTCAAGTTCTACCCAGTTTTTGTGGAGTCAATAAGGAATAATTATAAAGCTACAGAACTCTTGTGTGGGTTTTATCAGGAAAGCAAAGCAGGCAGTTATCACAGGGCTTCTCAACTGAAGCTGCTGGTACAAGAGAAGTCATTGGTCTTCTCTGTTCCCAATTATTCCCTTCCTACTCAGCTCTCCCGGAAAACGAGAAAATGGAAACAGAATTTCCATCTTGCCCACCACATCATTTCCTGTTCTGCTTGCTTACCTCCTCACCACAGATGACAAGAAAGGACCAGTTACAATTGCTTCTCATCAGAGCCTGGATCAACAAATGTGGACTAGGGGATCCTACCATTACAAAACCAAATGTAAAGGAAATAGCTACCAGAAATCCTGTGAACTGAGCAAATGGTTTCTAGGTCAGTAAATTCAAACTAGCAAACTGACCTATCAACTAACCACAAGCCACCTTGTCCTCCTTCCAAGTTTGAATTTAAAACCCTCCTCTTAAAAAGAGAAAAGAATATATGCATGGACCTCTCTGGTCTCCATAACCAACCATTACCAACTTCAAAAGAATTCTGTTAGTCCCCTTAAAAAAATTCTCTTTAGCTCTTTTACAAATATTAAGATGATAATAAAAGGACAGAGTCAATAGCATCCAGCCGTTTTAATTTTCAATATTGAGAAAGTCAGCAAGGGCCCTTGACTGATCAAACTTAGTGAGAACTTACCTTTTGCACAGCTCCTTGAAAAGCTTGTTTAATTCTCCTGCACGAATCAGTTATTAATTTTGTGTCTTGACTCTCCAGAGTTACATCTTGCAAATCTGCGTTTTCATGGAGTTTGAAAAGTCTCCTAAAGCAATCAGTGTCATCTTCTGATATTCTATTAGGATCCATCTGAAGAAAAAAAAAAGTTAGGACCTCAGAGTGAGAATCGTCAACCAATCTGCTATTTAATAAGTGAGTTTTGAGTTTTAAGGACAAAAAATCATTCTCTTTATTTCCCCAATGGCTAATAGTTAATACAATCACCCTCAAGGCAGCAACTCAGAAGGAAGGTGGGGCAATCTACTTCCGTAGTCATACTGCCTCGGAAACCCAAGGAGGGGTTGCTATGAGTCAGGTCCGACTAGATAGCACGTAACACACACACACACACAGGTTAGCAAAACCATGCACTTTTAATTCACCTCGATGAGCAGATGAGTATCTTCCACAACACAGAGCCAAGTTTTATGGTAGATTTTCAACAACAACAGAAGTTTGTGTGATCTGTGGTAAAATTATCAAAATCATCTGACAGTACGAAAGTGTTCACAGAGGGGAGTGGCATCAAAGAAATCACAGATGGTGTACAGGCAAAGAAAGCGTTTTGTCTTTAAGCGACACACAACATACTAGATTACAAAGCTCATTTGGATATACAAAGTGTGAAGCCTACATACAACAGGAGAAATACACTTCACCTTTAGCCACTGTTTGACCTTCTCCCTTAATCACTTTATATTTTAATCAGAGAGGGGAGGAAAATCCATTTTTCCAGCTCCAAACTAAACCTGAACCCAGAAGTGCACCTTCTTTTTTGTTGACACAGTGCTTCCAGAGTGATACCGCCTCAGAAACCCAAAGAAGGGTCGTTATGAGTCGGGTTCAACTTGACAACAGTGAGTTTGGTTTTTTTTTTTCCCCACTGCTTCTCAACTAGATGGCAGTCTGTCAGGAGGTGTCAGGGAGTGCGGGCAGGTGACATCTGATGGTCACAATGGTGCAAGAGGGCTGCATAGGGTGAGCAGCCTATACTTGCACATGCTAGCCAATGCTGGAATCCTTAAATGTGTAGGACTGCCCCACCTAAACGTTCCCATGGTGTTATTAAAAGATGGTGTTGGAACACTTGCCCAGCATTAGCATTATTTAAGCACTGTTCTTCTCTTTAAATCATCTGCCTGCTCCTGCCCCAGGTTCTGGCAAAGCTTTTTTAGTGGTTTCCACTGCCAAGTAAAACCACCAACCAGTTGCCATCAAGTCAACTCCAACTCATGACAACCCCACTGGTGTCAGAGTAGAACTGTGCTCCACAGCGTTTTCAATGGGTGAATTTTTGGATGTAGATCACTAGGCCTTTCTTCGGAGGCACCTCTGGGAGGACAGAAAGCTCCAACTTTTCATTCATCAGCCAAGCATGTTAACCATTTGCACCATCCCAAAGTAAAATAACAGATATAATTGACACTCTTTGGTTCATCAAAGTAGTTTAATTTATTGTCCTCTTCATTCAAAAAGTCAAAGTACTTCATGTATATTTGCTTATTTAGTACAGAAAAATGAAGAAAGGAAAGACTGATTAAGTTTAAACTAGCCAAAGCTCAGTTAGAATTAATACCAAGTCTCTCATTCCCTGGTTTAATGATCTTTTTAACAGTAATCAGAAAGATGTGCATGTTTATTAACCAGCCATCAGAAATAAAATGAAAGTTCCCAATCAGTATCCAAAATTCCCAAAGCAAAATTAGGGCCTTTCAACAAACATGCATCCACTAGTATGAGTTCTATTATTCCAGTCTTGCAAATAAAAGATTATCTATGAACATGAGGTGTTGGTGGTTCAGTGGTAAAGTTCTCCCCTTCCATGTGGGCATCGCAGACTGAATTCTTGGCCAGTGTACCTCATCTGCAACTGCTATTCATCTGTCAGTGGAGGCTTGAGTGTTGTTATGATACTAAACAGATTTCAGTGGAGCATCCACAAAAATACTGACTAGGAAAGAAGGCCTGGCAATCTACTTCCAAAAATCAGCCAAAGAAAACCCTATGTGTCACAACGGTCCAATGTGCAACTGGTCATGGGGACAGTGAAGGACCAGGTAATTTTTTGTTCTGTTGTGCATGGAGTTGCTATGAGTTGGGGCTGCCTTGACAGTGTCTAACAAAAACACTATCATGGGAGAGGTAATATTCATGAAGCAAAATTATTTGCAATTCATATTTATTTTTCTTATTTCCTTAAATAATTAGTACAAATCAGAATATGTCAGTTTTGCATAAAGAAAATTTTCAAATACTTAAAAAAAAAAATTGTTTTTATGTGTATGGCAATAAGTGTCCCACAAAACCAAAAAAAAGCCTGGGCAACTGATACAAAGGGTCATGGGGTTCAGACCTCAGGAAAGAAAACCCGTGCAAAAGGCCTCTGCTGGCTCACCATTAGAAACTGCTGAGCAGGAGCAATGTAGAGTTGGAGGAGGGTGCTTGTAAAAAAATTACATCGCTCCACTGCCACTGAGTCGATTTCAACTCTTAGCAACCCTATAGGACAAAGGAGAACTAGCCCATTAGGTCTCCAATCTTTACGGAAGCAGACTGCCACATCTTTCTCCCGTGGAATGGTTGGTGAGTTCAAACCACCAACCTTTTGGTTAACAGCCAAGCACTTGAACCTCTGCACCACCAGGGCTCCTTGGAGAGTGCCTCCAAAACCAAAACCATTGAGTCAATTCTGACTCATAGCAGCCTCACTGGATTCCCAAGGCTGGAGATCTTTACAGAAGCAGACTGCCTCAACTTTCTTCCAGAGAGCGGCTGGTGAGTTTGAACAACAAACCTTTTGGTTAGCAGCCAAATGCTTTAACCACTGCACCACCAGATTTCCTTTGGAGAGTGCCTAAACCAAAAAAACGAAACTCATTGCCAACCAATCAGACCCGACTCATAGTGACCCCTCCTTGGTTTCCGAGGCAGTATTTCTACAGAAGTAGATTGCCCAATCTTCCTCCCAAAGAGTGGCTGTTGGGTTTGAACTGTCAGCCTTCTGGTTAGCAGTCAAATGCCTCAGGCGCTACACCACCAGAGCTCCTGTTGTTGTTGTTGTTATGTGCCATCGAGTAGGATCCTACTCATAGCCACCCCTCCTTGAGTTTCCAAGGCAGTATCACTATGGAAGTAGATTGCCCAACCTTCCTTCCGAGAAGTGGGTGGTGGGTTTGAACTGCCAGCCTTCTGGTTAGCAGTCAAGTGCCTTAAGCACTATGCTACCAGATCTCCCATCAGAGCTCCTACAGACCCTAAAATTGGTTAAGTTCAAATTCTTTTGACAAGGTAAGTAAGCAGCTGTCTAAAGAAGCATCAGTCCCCTGCTGTTCAAAGTGTGGTCCAGGGATAGACATCATCATTAGCCTGAGCAGCTGTTTAGAAATACAAAACCCAGGCTTCACCCCAGAGCAAAGCATGGGAAACTACATTTTAACTAGATCCCAGGTGATTCATATGTACATAAAAGTTTGAGAAATCATGCCTTAAAATGCCACGTATACAAACAAATACAGATTTTCTGCTATTAAAATGACTCCAAACTTTACTGGAGACAAGTTTTAAATTTTATTACCAGCAGTACCAACTGGTACAAAGGACATAGTTACTAATGGTTCAGGATGATTCAAGGAAATATAGTGCCAACATTTTTTCTTGTCTCTTAAAAAATGCCAATGCCCAGATCCCAAACCTGGCCAATTCAATCAACATCCATGGGGGTAGGACTACGTAGTGTCTTTCTCTCCAAGCACTTCTAGTGTGCAATGAGAACCACAGTTTGGGAAGGTAACATTAGAACTAAAACATATAAAAACTTCAACAATTGTTTTTCCAAAAGAAATCACAAAAGTATGACACAATTATTTTTGATGTGCTCATTTGTTTACTTAAGGATCATATGTTAGAAAATTATTTTTGATCTACAACTAAATGCCTTTCTTATTCCAGTATCCTCAAAGCTCTCTTTTCCAAAAAATGGAGACCAGGAGCTGAGGGCTCAGAGTGCAGGGCCAATCACACACAGGTAAATTAGGGTTTCTATTCCTGTGACCTCTAGCTTGAAGGAACTCAGAACAGAGAGTGTCATTGGCATTGGATGCTCAACAAATGCTCATGGAGCAACTAAATGAATGATTCTACCCATCTACCCATCCCCTGGCACACAACAGTCTAGAGAGAGACTTACATGAATGAAAAATCATTTTTGTCAATTTTGACAATTACATCATTTTTCATGTTACAAATCAGAAATTGACATATATAGAGAGTTGCAATGTATGTGAAAAGCCCTTTCAGTAAATTATTAAATACACGAGGCACTGGGCTGTATGCTAAGAATAAGGTGGTGAGCAATACTGGCAGTAACTACTTTCATGGAACTTATACTCTGCAGAGGAAGTCAAGCATTCATCAAAAAATCACAGTAAAAATGAGTTACAAAAGAATTCATTGTACCTAGAAATGTCTGAACACAAAATAAATCTCAAATATTTGATTTGAAACAGACTTTCAAAATGCATTTATCAGATCATGTAGTTCATATGAAATGAACTCAGTTTTACGTTGTGTGTGTTTTTTAAACTTCCTTGAAAGGTAATCAAGTGAGGCAGGATGCTTGACGTTTGTGCTACTTTGTTATCTGCAGCTTGCACACCTCTTCATCAGATTGTGAGTCGTCACTGCTTTCCTGGGTAACAGCCCTCAAGGCTGGTGTGTGCACATTGGGAGACTGGGGAAAGGAGTTAAAAGAGCAAAAAAGCTTATCTTGCAGCTAAACTCTCAACTTTGAATATGGTTCTATGGGTATTATACACACACACACACACACACATGCATTCTACAAGCAACTTGTTGGAAGGGTTTTGTTTTTTTTTATTTCTTTGTTAACCAAAGTATGAATATCATGTGGTAAGTATACAACACAAGCCACATGCTATTTTCTCATCAGCAGGGTTGGTGGGGAAAAGCCAATCTACGCTGGATCTAGTACTTTTTTTTTTTTTTCCAATCTAGACACAGGCAAGCTGCAAACACTCCAGAGGTTGATTCATTTTTAGGTCCTCAAACATGAGTTTTATCTTAAGAGTTAGATGTTATCCTAATAATACTTCCGAAAAAGTTCATTGCTATTTTTACAGTATGCTGGGCATTCTTCTTTATGCCCTTACTATTGAATTAAACTGCTCCTTCTTGAAGATTTGCATAACTTCTTTCCTCCACCTTTAGTATAATACAATAAAACTGGCTCCTTCTTCTTCCTTTTTCTCTCCTGTGAACTGCAAACATGTTATCTGATACTAGATGATTTCATTCTCATTCGAATGTATTCAGAAACTCCAAGTAGTTGATCTACAACATTAATGGAAAATTGAAAAACAACAAACAAACAACTATTACCTCTCATTGGTGCCAAGTTCTAATCCAAAGGAGCTGATATCAATGCAAATGTAAAATCAGTGACAGGTCATACTGAGTCTATTCTCTTACCTAGAACTTTAAAAGAAGGTCTCAGATACATGTGAAAGTAGAAAGAACACTAGAGTCAACTCTCACATACAGATCACCAAGCTTCAACAATTATCTAGTGGGATATTCATATGAACACATTATCCTGGTATTACTTCTTCACTAAAGAAGAGGACCTTTTAAACATGCAGTACAAAATTGCGTTCAGAGTAATGGCTCAAATAGTCTATGTAAGTCTTAGCGAAACTCAATCTTCATGGCATGTAGGAAAATTGTATCCAGAAATCTGATGACATTGACATCTTCAAAAGAGAATTTTCTAGCAAGGCTCACTTACAGGTTCAGTTCAGAAAAAGGCTTTGAGGGTTTCCTATTATCATGTGTCATCAAGACTGCTTGACTTTAAGTAACCTATAAGTTACCAGACCTATCAGTCCTCCAAACCATTAATATTGAGTATGTCTAGAGGAAAGCTGAACAACTGTAATAAGAACTCAGTGGTCACTCTTTCCTACATGTCCACCCCAATTCCATGGTTCCTCCCAAGCACCACGCACATGGTCCCTAGAACTCACTCATTCTCTCCTACTCTTTCAACACTGAATACTCACTTCACTGTTACTGCTATGAAAATATCATATCCCTAAGGTGGCAGAGAAGATATGAGGTGGAGAACTATTGCATTTTCCTGCACTTTGCAGAATGCTGCCCTCTTTTCATTAAAAAAAAAAAAATTAAGAGTTGTTTGTTGCAGGCCCCTGAAAGACAGAACACTACAAAAGATCTTTATGTGCCTCTTCACTACCTGGTACCTTGCTATGCACATAGTAGGCATACAATGTATATTAAATAAAAGATTCTTAGTTCATATTCCATACATTTAATAGTGGCATGCATAATGGAGGCACTTGATACACAAGCATTAAATACAGAGAAATGAGGTCTGGTGGCACAACAGTTAAGCACTCAGGCTGTTAACCAAGAGGTTAGCAGCTCAAACTCACTCAGAACTTCCTCAGAGAGATACCTAGTGATCTACTTCCATAAAGATTCCAGTCAAGAAAATCCAATGGTGAAGTTCTACTCTATCGGATAGAGTAGCTATGAGTCGGAATTGACTCAACAGCGTCTAACAAAACAACAACAAAATTGTTGTTGTTGTTATGTGCCGTCGAGTCGGCCCCGACTCATAGCGACCCCTCCTTGGGTTTCCGAGGCAGTATCACTACGGAAGTAGGATTGCCCAACCTTCCTTCTGAGGAGTGGCTGGTGGGTTTGAACCACCAGCCGTCTGGTTAGCAGGCAAGTGTCTTAGCCACTATGCTACCAGAGCTCCTAACAACAAAATAGGGAGTTAAAAACAACACGATGGACAGGAAAATGAATAAACCACTCATTCTTGACTGCAACATACACCAATGAAGGGAAAATATTTCATCACTTTCACAGAGATTTGTAATCTATGTTGCAAGTAAAACCACTGAAAAGATGTCTTAGGGAAAAAAATCATATTTCCTCAACAGGTAAAGATTATTTATTATTAATATGCAAATATTGCTTTTCTGAAGTACTGCTCAAGCATTTCTACTTTTGTTTTTGTCAATAATCAAAACAGTTCTACAAAAAGTAAATTAGCAGATAATGAAAAGTTAACAAAAACCTTATGATTAAAAGCAATGGTGTTCAAAATACTAGCACACGCCAAAAACCTAGAAAACTCAAGCAATGCCACGTTTTCGTGCATCTAGTTTGGTTAAATAATAACCTTTGAGTCTGAAAGCAAATGAAGTCCAAACCCAACTCTCTTTTCCCATAAAAAAAAAAAAAAAATGCATAGTCAGCCCCCCACTTCCTCTGAGAAAGAGTTCACAGTACCAGACAAGAATATTTGAATGAATCCAACCAACTGCACTGCAATTTCCAAGAAAACACAAGGGCATAAACCACCAGAAAGCATAATATTACAAATTTACCCCTTCCTTTCTACTATCATGCTTTAGTTCTAAGCCTTCATGCAGGCCTGTCTCATCTTTTAAGAGGCTGGTTATTTGCTATATCGTAGCGAGGCTGTGCTAGGGGAGAAAACTTCACCACTACCCCCCCAAACACACCCACCATCACCACCACACACACCTGCCTCTTCCCTCCGCCCAACTCCTAGCCTCCAACTCTGCGGTGAGCTGAGCTCTACAGAAATGCGTAGCAGCAGCAACAGAGCCCCTTACCCTGAGACCCAGCTTCTCTGATCGCGCTGTGCCTTTTGGCCCCTCTGGCGACTTGGACTTAGCTTCCGCCGCCCCAGCCGCTGCAGGCACCTCCACCTTTCGCACTGCGCTTGCTGAAGCTGCCGCACCTCAAGCACTGTTGCCCAAAGAAGACCTCAAGAGCAGTTAACCGCAGAAACCGAAATCCCCTGCGTGGTGGGCGGGCAAGGAAAGGATTGAAGCTTACGCGAGGGGGCTTTTCTTTTTTCTAAGTAGAAGTTAAACCAAAACCAAAGCACATCAGTTGCCATTGAGCCAACTGTTACTCATGGAGTTGGTTCTTACCTCCAAGAGAGAAATAGAAGGACGGAAAAAAGTTTGCAAACGCTTCTAAAAGGAGGTGAGCGGCCAAGGCAGTCTCACGGGGGAAATTCAAACCAGCCAGGCCGGGCAGCCCAGGTTCTGCGCGCTGCGGTGCAGAGGTGCGTGCGCAAAGAGAGGCGAGAGCGCCTGGCTCTCCGAGCGCGCAGCACTGCGCAGCCCGACGTCCAACTCTTCCCAAGGGGTCTCTTCTTTCGTCAGAGTCACTTTTCTCTGCCTGTATACGGAGGGTCTGGGGAGCAGAGCTCGGCGGCCACACTCTGTTTCCCCTCAACTGAGGAAAGAATGAGGGCTGTAAGCCCCTAACGCGCTCCGGGACAGGGGAACACTCACCTGCGCTCTGAAGTAGAGGAACAAGGCGACGCTGCAGACTACCTGGCCCAATCCCAGCCCCAGGAGGGCGACGAACGTGGAGCGGGAGGCGGCGGGAGGCGGGTGCGGTGCCGGCGGCGGAGGGTGCAAGGGGCCCTCGTGCGCGGCGCCGGAGCCACCGCTGCCCATCTCCTCCGAGCCGCGCAGGTACTTGGTGTAGTCTCGGCTGGCGCGGCGCATAGCGCTCTGCCCGGCTTACTTGGCGATTTCCTCCCTCTCGCGCTCCCTTCCTTTCCCTCTCTGTGGGCGGCAAACTCAAAAGACCGCGGCGGAGCCCAAGTTGGGCTGAGTGGGGCCTCGAGTGCCGGGTGCCGATGTCTGCGGCGCGCGGGCGAGCAGGCAGCCCGCCTGGCTGCCCCAACTCTTATAAACCGCTTCGAGAGGGCTGGGTTCGGGAACCAATCAGCCCCGGGCCAGGCTGCGTCTTCCACTCCCACCTCTAGCTCCCCTTCCTTCCTTTCTTCCTCCCTCTCTTTCTCACTTTCTCACTGAAAGGCCTCCTCCCCACCCATCCGCTCAGAGGAGGAGGATGTGGGTTACTCCAGCTGTTCCATACTCCTCTGACCCATCCTCACAGACCTTCCAAAAGTCCAAGAGATGGGCTGGGGAAGAAGCAGCCCAGGATAAAACATAAGGGTCACATCATGGGGCATTTCTCTCAAGGCGGTTTGCAGCCCTGACTCCGTAAGATTTAAAAAGTTGTATCCCTAGCCTCTTCTTATCAGACCCGCTCGCCTACCCCCTCCCCGCAACCCACTGCCATCCAGACCATTAGGACTCATAGCGACCCCCACTGGGTTTCCTAGGCGCTAAATTTTCAAGGAAGTAGATTGCCCCATCTTCCATGGAGTGGCTGGGGGGTTTGAACCACCATCCTTCTGGTTAGTAGTCAAATGCCTTAGGCACTACACCACCAGAGCTCCTTAGTCACAGGTATACCAAATAAAAAACCAAACTCCCTGCCGTGAAGTTGGATTCCACACATAGCGACCCCTCCTTGGGTTTCCCAGGGGGTATCACTATCACTGGGAGCTCTGGTGGCCTAGTGCCTAAGGCATTTGACTACTAACCGGAAGCCTGAAGGTTCAAACCCACCAGTCACTCCTCTGAAGGAAGGTTGGACAATCTAATTCCGCAGTGATATTGCCTCAGAAACCCAAGGAGAGGTCACTGTGAGTCGGATTGAATCCACGATAGTGCATTTGGTTGTGTTTTGGTTATCACTATCACTACTGGAGTAGATTGCCCAACCTTCCTTCCCAGGAGTGGCTGGTAGGTTTGAACCAGCAGCCTTCTGGTTAGCAGTCAAGTGCCTTAGGCACTAGGCTTCCAGAGCTCCTACTATGCAGTAAGTACACAGTAAATATTTGTTCAATAAAAAATGACTGGAATCCGTGGAGCCTTTGCCCTTGTTTCCGTCTAAGCCACACTATTTTCACCAGAATTAACTCTGACATTCTCCTAACCACAACCTCCAGTCTTGCTCTCCTCTAAAAAGTTCATTACACACCTATCAGGTAGCTTTTTAAAGATAAATAGATGTACCATTCCCCTAGTTACAATCCTTTAATGACTTATAAGTATTATTAGGAGCTCTGGTGGCATAGTGCCTAAGGCATTTGACTGCTAACCAGAAGGCTGGCAGTTCAAACCCACCAGCCACTCCTTGCAAGGAAGTTTGGGCAATCTACTTCTATAGTGTTACTGCCCCAGAAATCCAAGGAGGGGTCACTCTGAGTTGGAAGTATTATTAGGATAACACCTAAACTCTTAAGATAAAAACTTCAAGTGGTTCTTTACAATTTGTCTCAAGACTCCTTTTCCCTATCAGCTCAGAACACTCCCACCTTTAACTGCTGTCCCTAGGTGCAGTGTACTTCCTACCTTCACCCTCACCTGGATAGCTCTCCTACTCATCTTTCTTCTCTCAGCTTAAATGTCACTTCTTTTTTGTGTGTGCTTAGGGTCCAAATTTACAAAGCAGATTAGTTCTGTATTCAACAGTTCATGCACATTTGATTTCACAGCCCGATTACCATCCCTAACTATAAATAACTCTCCCCCCCTCTCTTCCCTGTGACTACCCCTTCCCCATGCCCTCCTTATCTATGCATTCCTGTCTGTCTAGAAATCACATAGAGGAAAAATTGGTGTCTTGTGGCTGATTGATCTAAGGGGTGCATCTCCCTACAGCAGGTGGGTGCATTGCCCTGGGATAGGTGTTCTGCATGTAGTTCTTTCTACTGTTGGGCTGAGAGGCAATCCATGTAATTGAGTCCTTAAATGTCACGTCTCTGGAAGACCTCTGCTTTCCTAATGCAGTTGTCTTCCCATGGTACCTTTAGTTCTATAATAGCAGTTGCTCACTACCAGTAATTCTGCTTGATCAGCAATTTTCAAATTTATGTGTCTTAGGACCCCTTTGCACTCCTAAAAATAATTGAGGACCCCAAATAGCTTTTGTTTATGTGGATTATATTTATTAATATTTGCCATATTAGAATTCCAAACAGGAATTTTTTGCATATTAACATTTATTATAAAATTATATTATGCTAGCATAGGAGCTCTGGTGGCATGGTGTCTAAGGCACTTAACTGCTAACCAGAAGGCTGGAGTTTCAAACCCACCAGCCACTCCTCGGAAGGAAGATAGGGCAATCTACTTCCGTAGTGATACTGCCTCGGAAACCCAAGGAGGGGTCGCTATGAGTCGGGTCTGACTCAACGGCACATAACAGCAACAATATTTAAAAAAAAAAAAAAACTCACTGCCATCAAGTCAGATCCGACTCATAGCGACCCCTCCTTGTTTCCAAGGCAGTATCACTATGGAAGTAGATTGCCCAACTTGCCTTCTGAGGAGTGGCTGGTGGGTTCAAACCGCCAGCCTTCTGGTTAGCAGTCAGGTGCCTTAGGCACTATGCCACCAGAGCTCCTATGTTAGCATAATATAATTTTATAATAAATAAATAAAATTAAAAAAATTTTCAAAACCAAAATAAAGTAGTGAGAAGAGTAGCACTGATTTACTCTTTCTCAAATCTCTTTGTCTGGCTTAATTGGCTTAATGGATCCTTATATTCACTTCTGTATTTAATTGCTGCAATATTGTACATTAGGTAGCCTCTAGGAAACTCTACCGGACTCTACTATTGTGAGGAGGAGAGTGAAAAAGACAAATGTCTTAGTATTGCTATGAAATAGTTTTAACTTCATAGACCCCTTAAAAGATCTCAGAGATGCTTAGGGATTCTCAGACCACACTTTGAAGATGGACTACACTTTCTAGCTGTTATTCAATATTTGTTTAAGAAAGAAGACAGTGCCATTGTCATATTATCTTGGAAAATGTAGCGTTAATCATAATTAGTTTGCTTTTTTGAAGCAGATCTTATCAGTGGGTTTGCTGAAAGGGCAGAAGACTTGAAGCACTTACTAATGAAGATTAAAAACAGCATGGATAACACTTCAACATAAACATAAAGAAAACAAAAAATCTTCACAACTAGACCAACAAGTAACATCATGATAAACAGACAGAAGATTGAATTTTTCAAGGATTTCATTTTACTTGCATCCACAATCAACACCCATAGAAGCAGCAGTCAAGAAATCAAATGGCATGTAGCATTGGGCAAATCTTCTGCAAAAGACCTCTTTAAAGTGTTCGAATGCAAAGATACCATTTTGAGGATTAAGGTGTGCCTGATCCAAGCCACATTGGAGGAAGACTCATTAACAACCTGCGATACGCAGAGGAAACAACTTTGCTTGCTGAAAGTGAAGATGACTTGAAGCACTTGCTGATGAAGATTAAAGACTGAAGTCTGCAGTATGGATTACTCCTCAATATAAAGAAAACAAAAATCCTCCCAACTGGTCCAATAAACAGCTTTACGGTGGATGGATTTCTCTTGAAGTTGTCAAGGATTTCATATTACTTGGTTCTACAATCAACACCAATGGAAATAGCCATCAAGACATCAGATGATGTATTGCATTGGGCAAATCTGCTGCAAAGGACCTCTTTCAAGTGATGAGGAGCAAGGATGTCTCCTTGAAGACTAAGGTGCACCTGACCCAAGCCATGGTATTTTCAATTGCTTCTTATGCATGTGAGAGTTGGACAATGAATAAGGAAGACCAAAGAAGATTTGCTGCTTTTGAGTTGTGGTGTTGGAGAAGAATGCTAAGAGTACTATGGTCTGCTAAAAGGACTAACAGATCTGTCCTGGAGGAAGTGCAGCCAGAATGTTCCTTTGAAGCAAGAATGGCCAGATTTCATCTCACCTACTTTGGTCATGTTGTCAGAAGAAACCATTCCCTGTAGAAGAATATCATGCTTGGTAAAGTGGAAGGTCAATGAAGAAGGAGAAGGCCCTCAATGAGATGGATAGACACAGTGGCTGCAACGATGGGCTCAGGTATAGCAAAGATCATGAGGCTGGCACAGGACCGGGCAATGTTTCATTCTGCTGTGCATAGGGTCGCTATGAGTTGTAGACAACTCAACAGCACCTAACAACAACAACAATCTAAGCCATGGCAGTTTCAATTGCTTCATATACGTTCAAAAACTGGACAATAAATAAGGAAGACCATAAAAGAATTAATGCAATTGAATTATGATATTTGCTAAGAATATTGAATATATCATGGACCGCCAAAAGAATGAACAAATCTGTCTTGGGAAAAATACACCCAAAATACCCCTTAGGAGCAAGGATGGTGAGACTTGATCTTTGTCTCATGTACTTTGGATGTGTTATCAGGAGGGACAGCATATTTGGTAAAGTAGAGGGTAAATGAAAAAGAGGATGACCCTCACATAGATGGATTTATAAGGCGGCTACAACAACGGGCTCAACCATTGCCATGATTGTTAGAATGGCACAGTGTCTTATTCTGCTGTATGTAGGGTCACTGTAAAGCAGAAATGATTCAGTAGCACCTAACAACAACAACAACTTGTTGTTGCAAATGTATGTTGTGAATCTTTAAAAAATGGTTCAAATATTCAGAATTTCCTTTTTTTTCCATTACATGTTAAGGATTCAAGAAACAAGTCTTGGTAAAAAAGTAAATGAGTGAAACCTACAGGACAAGAATGGGCAGTACAACAGAAATGGCCAAAATGTTGGTAAAATAGTGGGCAGGACTGAAGAATTAGGAAGAGAAAGAACAAGAGATAAGACCACTGAAATATTGAGGATTGGGAAATTGGAAAAAAGCATTCAAATTCCATTCTAAAGCAT